CCTAACCCTAACCCTAACCCTAACCCTAACCCTTACCTTTCTGTGAATCGGCTTGCTTTAATTTTATTTTTATTTCAATTTTTATTTTTTTTCGTTGTGCTGTGATGACGTCAAATGCGCGCTTTCGTCGATCGCACATTTGTGGTCTGCGGTTTTGACGGGTCACGCAACAACTCTTTGCTTTCAAAACCTAATTAACACTTTTGAGCAAACCATTTGAAAGCAGTTGAATAAATAAACCAGGTAGCTTGAGCTTCAGTTAGTTGTGCATTCACTTAATTTATCTTCTAGCATTCATGGGAGAGGCATACTTCAATGAATATGAAAGTATACTTTGTTTTGAGATGTCTGAACTCCATTGTGTTCCTGTCAATCCTCAGAACTTCCTCCGCACCAAGAAAAGCTTAATTGCATGAACATGCCAATGGCTATTTCACTTGGATTTTTCGTTTTCTACAGCCTGATGATCACAGCAGCCATTTACTACTGTTGGGTAAGAAATCATTCTTTTATTTTCCCTTAGTACTAATCAGACGTAGTCAGCGAGAAAAATATAACCAGAAAGAATGCAGAACGTTTCCACATCTGCACACATGCTACATACGGAGCAATGCACCTGCCAACATTTTGGATTTCCCTTGGAACTATGGTATATTTATGGAGACCATCATCATGGGCTTGAACACTTGAAGTATTACTATCTAGTCCCCTCAACATATAGATAGATGAGCAAGAAAACAATGTCTTTTATATGGTCATATTTCTCTTCCCTTGTTTGGAAATCAGCTCTAAATGAAGCCGGGGCAATCAGCATTGTGTAACAAGTACATTTGTGGGCATCACATTATTAAAATTGAACAAGGATGCCCATGAAGTGTCCTTGGTTGCAGACTCCTGGGAGGCTCATTGAGTTGTGCTTGAGTTTTGAGCATTGGGGGCCACCTTCAAAAATAAGCTGGGACCAGGAACAAGCAAGAGATACTTACCTGGCACAAACATATCCAACCCCTTCCTCTTCCTATGTTAGCATTTGTCCTCCTGTAATTCTAGGCACTTCCTTAAAAAAGGATTTTTACTGAGTCATCTCTCAGCCCCATTAAAAATTACGGTGGCTTCAACTTTTGGAGAGTTCAAGGAAGTGTTGAGAAGATGCAGAGGGTACTTCTGGGATTGAAATTCATGTATGCCCATCTTTAAAGACACATGCAATCTCTCCTGATTTCTGGTATGTGTGTGTGTGTGTCTATGTATGTATGTATGTATGTATCAGCAATAGCAATAGCAATAGCAGTTAGACTTATATACCGCTTCATAGGGCTTTCAGCCCTCTCTAAGCGGTTTACAGAGTCAGCATATCGCCC